CTCCTCCTCCATATCCATCTTCTCCTCCTCCTCCCCCTCCTCCTCCTCCTCCTCCTCCTCCTCCTCCTCCTCGATGGGGGGTCGGCGGGCAGTTCTTCTCCTCCCTCTGGCCGAAAAGCCTTCCAAGTCTGCAGAGGCTCCCTGGAGAAGGCTGCCCCCTCGCGCCAGCCCCCCCTCTGCGCTGCGCGCCGCCACTTTGCGCGCCGAGCCGCCGCCCGGCGGCCCTCCCCGCGCCTGCCGTGCTCGCGGCCACTGCGCGGGGAGAGGGCGCGCCGCGGCCTGGGCTTCGGGGCGAGATCCCCGCTAGGGGGCCACATGCGAACCCTGCCCCTACACGACTTCTAAGGGGGAGGGCGGGGTTCACGTCGTTCGGTAGCTCCCGAGCGAAGCGAACCTCACCCTCCCCCTCAGAAATCGTGGGTAGGGGTAGGGTTCCAATGTGGCCCCCTTCCTGCGATTCCCGACGCCCGGGAGCGGGGGCGGAGCGGGGAAAGGGGGGGGGCGGAGGAACGAAGAGCGGAACGGAGCGGGATTTTCCCCGACGAGGGCAGCGTGCACACGTGAAAGCTCGAGTGCAAGTCACTGCCCTCGACACGACGCGTCCTTGGAACGAAGTCTCTCCACAAGAGCCGCCACGTGCTGCTCATTGGATGGGGGCTGCTTCTGCGGCGGAGGAGGGTTGGGGGAACAATAAGATACCGATATGGGGCTACTCCACGGACCCCTCCCTGGGTGCGTCCCGTCCAAGATTTCGAAGTAGATCTGGCCAGGGCGACGAGGGGAGGGCAGCGGAAACGGTACCTCTGCTCCTTTTGAAAAAAAAAGAGTGACGGAGTTTCCCAGGGTTTCTTTCAGACCAACAACCAAAGAGAGGGAAGGGAGAACGGATGGAAGCCAAGAGCAGCCGCAAGGACGAGGAACGCAAGCTGACACGATCCTGACTGCGGCACTGGCCGCTGCGGTCGGCACCCATCGGGTGTTTCTAGAAGTGGTCCTGGCCCAAGGTGCTCCCAGCCTTTCGCGCCATGTGGGGGCGCCATGTTGGGGCATCAGTGGCCGTTTTGGTGGGCCTCACGAGGGGTGCTCTGGAAGCCATCTGCGCCTCCCTGGGAAAGGTGGGGCCACCTCGGAAAAGGGCCACTTCTTGCAACGCCCGAACCCTGTGGCACACTGGCAGTGAAGCTCGCACGACCAGCCACGGCCCGACAGAGTGCGGCACGCGCGCAGGTTCAGCAACCACAGCGCCTCTGCCTGCCCGTATGTGCTCCACGCGGCGGCCGTGTCGCGAACAGCCCTGAAGATCGAGGAAGGAGGGCGAGAAGGAGAGGAGCGAGTTTGCTCTACGCGATCCGCCATCATACACGTTGGCAAGGACGCCCAACCCCCCTCTGGCTGGTAGCGTCACGATTCGCGGCGGCCCGTCCTGTAAGGGCTAGCGGTTGCTGATTTCCAGACGGCGCCAGCGCATGTCGTGATGTCACCTGCGCCGCTCGCACCATCCCCTTGTAACAGCGGTCCTTAGAGTCGTTTCGTACTCAGATGTCTGGCATGTTTACTTGCATGGCCTGTCGCTTGGAGCTGAGCCGAAAAACCAGTAAGGACCGCTCCACTCGCGTGCTCTCCAGCTCTCCATCGGGGGCTCCCCCACGGGGAGCCCCCCCCAGCCCCGCCCCCGTGCAAGCAGGCTTGCCGGCCTCTCATCGCGAGATGACTACACCAACGACGTGCTCGAGGAGGGCCGTGGACGGCTCCCGCAGCAGCTCCGAGTGGGAGCCCCTCGCCCCTCGGGCCCCCCCAAGAGGGCTCTGCCCCGCTGCTCTCAGGTCGGGCATGTCCCCCTACAGGCGGATTTTTGGCGAAAAATCAAAAATACGCAGAAAATGCACCCAAATAGTCAGCAAATACTGCAAAAATCGCCCCCATACTATTTTTTGACTATTTGTCCCTACCTAGGCTCTGCCTAGAAGGTTCTTACTCTATTAGTTTAAAGGGGCCGGGCAGTGGGCTTCGCCCCGGGCGGTTCCCCCAGGCCCCGCCTCGCGGCTCCCCCAGTTGCGCCCCCTTACCTTAGCTTTGCGTATCTCATCTTAGCTTAGCTTAGCTTAGCCTAGCTTAGATTAGCTTCATCTTAGCTTCGCTTAGCTGTAGCTTAGCTTAGCTTAGCTTAGCTTAGCTCAGTTTAGATTAGAATAGCATAGCACAGCCCAGCATTGCATATCATAGCGCAGCATAGCATAGCATAACATAGCATGTAATAGCATATCATAGCATAGCATAGCATAGCATAGCATAGCATAGCATAGCGCAGCATAGCATATCATATCACAACATAGCGCAGCATAACACAGCATATCATAGCCTAGCATAACATAGAACAGCCTAGCGTAGCATAGCATAGCGCAGCATAGCATAGCATAGCATAGTGCAGCATAGCATAGCAGAGCAGCAAAGCAAAGGCAAAGCAACAGCAGCAACAGCAAAGCAAAGCACTAGCAACGCAAAGCAAAGCAACGCAAAGCAAAGCAAAGCAAAAGCAAAGGAACGGCAAAACACAAGCAATGTGCAACAGTACGATCGTAGAGCCCACCCGGTGAGCGAATGCAAAAACATGCGTGTGTGTGTGTGTGCGAAGGCAAAGCAACAGCAAAACCAAGCAAAATCAAAAACAAACAAAAGCAAAGGCAACTGCGACGATGAGGAGAAGGAGGAGGACGGCGTTTACCGTTACTACTAATGCTGCTTTCCTAGGGGCTCCAACTCCTAGGTAGGGTCGCACTGGGGCAATTGAACATTTCTTCTGTAGAAGGACAGGCCCGACTTACCGCTGCTCCCGGGGGCAGCCGCCCCGCGCCGCGCGGGAGAACCCGGCGCCCTGGCCGCGCGCCCCCGGGGCCGCGGGGGCCCGCCGCGCGGCGGCGGCGGTGCTCCCCGGAGGCCCCGCCGCCCGAGGAGGGCCCGCGGCACCGCGGCTGCCGCGCGCGCAGGCCGAGGCGCTGCGGGCCGACGCGCGGGCGCCGAGGCCAGGCGTGGCCGGATGGACGGGGTCCCGCCGTCCTCCTCCTCCTCCTCCTCCTCCTCCTCCTCCTCCTCCTCCTCGTCCTCCGCCTCCTCCTCTTCCTCCTCCTCGTCCTCCTCCTCCTCCTCCTCGTCGTCCTCCTCCTCCTCCTCCTCCTCTTCCTCCTCCTCCGCCTCCTCCTCCTTGCTCCGAGGCTACCGTGGCCGTCGTGCTCGTCCTCCTCCTTCTCGTCCTCCTGCGCTGCTACGGGGCGCTTTTTTTTCTGGACAGCTGAATATCTGGCTTGATGGATATGGGGCGTGTGCTGGAGGCGCGGCCATCCCCAAAGAGGAGGAGTGGGCGCACTTGCCGCCGCGCGCCGACCGTCAGCAGATCATCGAGGCATGCTCCCTCCAGAATGACCTCCACTGGGTCGCCAGCGGGCCCTGGAGATGCGTCCAGTGCCTGCGCAGCTTCAAAAGATGGAAAGCAACTATGGCGTCGCAGTGCCGCCACCAAGCCTCCAATAGCCAGAACGGGCTTCGAGAGTTCGCCTTCACCCACACGCTCAAGAGCTCCGTGACGGACCTACGCGGGGCTGAAGCAGAGCATGCATATTCTGTGCTGTACTGTGAAAAGATGCCCAGTATGCGCAGCTCAAGCCTCGAGGGCTGGCGCAGCAGTGTCCTGCCCAACATGCAAGCTTCACGCTGGGCGGGATGCGCAAAGCATGGCCGAGCCGCTTCGAGAGGTGCCTACACCTGGGTACATGGCGGAAGGAGGTCGTCAATAAGAGTTGTGCGTTCAAGGACCTGCGTTTCCTCACTCAGCCGAGTACGAGTGTGCGGGCATAGGCCGGCATGCAGCTGGCATGTTCGGCGTTTCAGCATCTCCGCAGTCCTCCTCCTCCTCCTCCTCCTCCTCCTCCTTTTCCTCCTCCTCCTCCTCCTCCTCCTCCTCCTCTACCTCCCTTTCCTCCTCTCCTCGTTATCCTCTTCCTCCTCCTTCTCCTCCACGTCCTCCTCCTCCTCCTCTTCTTCTTCTTCGTTTTCTTCTTCCTCCTCCTCCTCCTCCTCCTCCTCCTCCTCTCCTCGTTATCCACTTCCTCCTCCTTCTCCTCCACGTCCTCCTCCTCCTCCTCCTCCTCTCTCTTCTTCGTTTTCTTCTTCCTCCTCCTCCTCCTCCTCCTCCTCCTCCTCCTCCTCCTCCTCCCCTCCATCCTCCCTCCACCATCCCACCACCTTCCCTTCCGAGCTTCCCATCTTCGAGCTTCGAGCTGCAGATCATATAGTCGACGACGCGTGAGACCCTCGATGCACCTCGCCCTGCTTGCTGCCAAAAAGAGATAATACAACGAGAAGGTGAGAGAGACCATAGGGAACGACCGAACGACGCAATCGTCCTCTCACCTTCTCCTCTTCTTCCCTCCTGCCTCTTCCTGCGCCTGAAGACGCCTGGCAGAGATCGCAGACGCGCGGAACCCACCCTGCCACGGAGGCGGCCCGGCCGGGACAGCAGGCTTGCGGAGCCCCTCCCGCGGCGGGTCTCCTGCTCGCCCCCTCCCGTGAGCGCGGCCATCAGAGATCGGCTGGACGGCGGCGACAGGCGCGCCACGGCGAAGAGGACGCGGGCTGGTGCGGCGGGGTGTGTGGGGTGGAGAGTACCAGGGCAGAGGACAAGGAGGCACAGAGGGAGGAGGAGGGGGCGGAGGATGGAGGAGGCGACGGAGAAGAGATAGGGGGAGGATGGAGGAAGAGGAGGCAGGGGCGGGCAATGAGGATGGAGGAGGTGGAGGGGGGGATTGAGGAGGGAGGAGGACGCAGGGCGGGAGGATGAGGGGGGGCGGAGGTGGGGCAGGCGGATGGAGGAGACAGAGGAAGAGAACCACCACGAGGATAGGGAGAACACGAGGGGGGGGACATGCCGAAGGGCGGAACATCCTCCGCCAGCCCTCCTTTCCCCTCCCCCCTCCCCTCCTCCTCCGCTCCCTCGTCTCACCCCCTCCTGCCCTGCTACCCCCTTTCCCCCTCGTGCGTCCCACAGAGTCCTCAACCTCATCGTTTTACTTTTCTCCACGCAGGATCCACACAACATCTGAGCAAGCACAGCGGATCCGATTCGTCCAAACTACTCTGTCCATGATGCGGCTCGCCAACAAATGAATTATCATACTAGTCACTGGCGCGTTTTGTCTGTCCCCATACAAATTCATCAGATCCTGGGTGGGGAGGAGCATTGGTAAAGAAGATCGTGGGCGCGCGGGACACAGGAGGTATACAATAAGCATGTGTGGTTATATTTCTGTTGCGCGCGTGCGATTGCGGAAGAGGGAGAGGAGGATGAGAGGGAGGAGGAGGAGAAGGAGGAGGAGGAGGAGGAGGAGCAGGAGGAGCAGGAGGAGGAAAGAGAGGAGGATCGGGAGCTCGCGAAGGGGGGGGGAACACATGAGGAGGAAGAAACTCGCACCCGACCTTTTGCACACCTTTGGGCACCCGTGGCAGCTTCGGGGCCAGCCGGGGCCCCATTGGGGCCACGCTCTTACAGTCCTCGCCCTCCGCCACCCGCGGTGATTACCCAACGTATGCCGTCCGCCCGAGAGTAGACGAAGACTCGGAGGTCCAGAGACGCTGCCAGTGGGTGCCCAGCGCAAATCAAAGAATCTGCGCGGAGCATCGAAAGATGTTGTGTGCGCAGTTTGCCAGTCTTGGTAAGGATTCGGGCTGCGCAAAGACGGCCCCCCCAGGTGCCCCCCCCCCCTCCGAATAGTTCCAGCTCGCCTCGACAGGCCCCCCGAGTAGTCCGGGGAGGTCTCCACAACCCAACCCTGAGGCGCGGCGAGCCCCCCGGGCGCCGCCTGAGGCGGCGCTGGGATGTTGAGACCGCGTGGGCCTGCTGAGGCCGGCTGGGCATACTTGAAGGGGCCCAGGGACACACAAATAAAAACACACGAATAAAAGGATTCCCTATATTTTCCCATATATTCTGGGTTTTTGTTTTCCCCCCCACCTCCCATATTTCCCCATATTTTCTGGGGGGCCGACGACTCATTGTATCCGTGTGTTTTTTTCCCTCCTGAATGCTCGGGGCCTGCTGGCAGCTGGGGCCACCTCGGGAGGCTGTCTGTGCGGCCGCCGGCCGTCGCGGCGCCGGTGTGGCCACGCCGCCGCAGCCCGACCCGGTGCGCGAGGCGCCCGAGCCCCGGGTTGCGACGGAGGGCGCGCCCGCGGGCGGCCGTCGCGCGCGAGCTCGGCTCGCCGTGCCGTTGGCGCCTCCTCCTCCTTTGCCTTCTCCTTCTCCTTTTCCTCCTTCCACTTCCCCTCCTCCTCTGCCCTTCTTCCTTCCTTCCTTCTCCTTCTCCTCTTCTTCCTCCTCTCCCCTTGTCCTCCTCCTCCTCCTCCTCCTCCTCCTCCTCCTCCCATTCATGTACATCGCAAGCCTCCAGGGGTGCGAGAGAGAGAGAGGCAGGGAGGAAGTCGCGTCGTCCCGCCGCTGCTAGCGTGTCGCGCCGCTGCGCGGGGCGGGAGGGCACGGAAGGTTCGGGACGTTGACTGCGAGAGAGAAGACAACCTCTAAGGCGTCCACCTGCTCTCTCTCGCTTTCTCTCTCTCTCTCTCTCGAACCGCAAAACCTGCTCCCCTCCGGTATCTGGCGCCCCGATGTTTTGAGGCGCCAGATGCCTGGAAAGGATGCCGGGGAGGAGGAGGAGGAGGAGGAGGAGGAGGAGGAGGAGAAGGAGGAGGAGAAGGAGGAGGACCATTCGCACTCATAGCGCAACTTCGGAGGAGGAGGTGGAGGAGAACCGGGATACGACGAAGCCAGGACGAGGATAACATCGGGTGGAGATAAATCGAGAATCTCTGAGATCCGGAGGCTCTGAAGGATGTCTCGGGCGCCGCAGCCTTCTCAGAGCATTCGGGAACGCTATGAGAGCGATCTGGAACGCTCTGGAACGGATTCATCCTCGTCTCAGCGCCGTCCGACACAAGAAGCTGGATGAGCAGGATCAGAGGTCTGGACCCATTCCCCTGGACTGCCGTTTCATCTTGAGCCGTTCGTTGATGGCTCAAGGGCCCGGCGAGGGCCCGTAGAGGCCGAAAATGGCTGGAAACCTCCCGTCGCGTTTTCGCATTAAGCGAGGGGAGAGAGAGAGAGAGAGAGAGAGAGAGAGAGAGACCCCCCCAACAAAAACAACGGAAAGGAAGAGAGAAAAGGAGGATCTGGTGCCAGCTCCCTTCCAGCATCTGGTGCCTCCATTGTTCTCGATGTTTCTCGAGGCGCTGGATGCCTGGAGAGGAGGAGGAAGAGGAGGAGGAGGAGGAGGAAGAGGAGGAGGGACCAATCTGAGGAGGAGGGGGAGAGGAGGAGCAGCAGGACTCATCGCGCAATTTCGGAAGAAGAGGCGCAGGCAGAAGAGAAGGACGAAGCCCGCTCCCCACCGGCATCCGCGGGGCCCATCTCTGGCAGCACGCCGGGCAAGCGCAGGTCCAGAGCGCGCACGGCCGCGCCTCGCGGGGGCCACGACGGCCGACGGGTAGGAAATCCCCGCCATGCCCCATTCGCAGGCGTGATGGGACGAGGATGAGGGGAGGGGGGGCAGGAGGAGGAGCAGGAGGAGGTGGAGGAGGAGGAAGAGAAGAAGGAGGAGGAGGAGGAGGAGGAGAGGGACAAGGAGGAGAGGGAGGATGAGGATGAGGATGAGGAGGAGGAGGGGGAAGAGGAGAAGAGGGAGGATGATAGGGAGGATCAGGAGGAGGGCCGAGGAAAAGGGGAGAGGGAGGAGGAGCGATAAGGAGTCAGGGAGGGGGAGGAGGACCTTGACAACCAAACGTCTGGCTGGAACAAAGATAAGGCGGAATCCTTCCGCCGGTTTCGGTCCCGGGGGCGTCAAACAACGACCCGGGATGGAACGCCGGAGAAAGGATCAGGACTCCGCATTGACAAACAAAGCACTGGATCTCTAGAGAAGAGGAAGATAATGATATGATGGGAAACAGGAAGGCATCTCCCCCTCTCCTCCTCCTCCTCCTCCTCCTCCTCCTCCTCCTCCTCCTCCTCCTCCAGCACACGTTCTCATGCTCCACCTGCACCACCAGCTTGACCTCCTCCTCCTCCTTCTCCTCCTCCTCGTCCTCCCCGACCTCCTACTTCTCTCCTTCTCCACCTCGATGTCCTCCTCCTCCTCGACCTCCTCCGCCTCCTCCTCCTCCTCCTCCTCCTCCTCCTCCTCCTCCTCTTCCTCCCCCTCTTCCTCTCCTCCTTGGGCGCTCCGAAAGGAACTCGCGAAGCACCCTCCCCGAAGCGGCGCTCGCCGAGGCAAGGTCGCCCAATGTTTTGCACCTGCTGCTCGGTGCATTTTGCTTACAGCATTTCCCACAGATGCTGTAAGGATTCGCCTGTTTGGCTAATGTCGTGAAGCCGTGGAGGTCAAAACATCGTCCTCCTCCTCCTCCTCCTCCTCCTCCTCCTCGGCCTCCTCTTGCTCTTCTCGGGGGGAGGCGGGGAGGATCGAGGTTCGAGAATGTATGATGTTTTCTGTGCGTCCTTGCAGGAGGTGTTCATGACTGACGGTGAGCAGCAGCGAAGCGAACAGTCTAGCTCTGACTTCAACAGCGGCTCGTACGATATTCTTGATTGTTCGCATTTGGAAGTGACATGTGCGACGGCGCGAATGAGACGAGGCAAGTGTGCAGACAGGGCAATGGATGACATGGAGATGTTCTTCTACGGGGCAGGCGCCTTGAACGATGTGGTGTTAGAAGGCCCAAACGCAATTCTCCGCGCCGGATTCATGAAACCAGCGTGGCGTGACATGTTCTTCACGATGCTACCCAAGTCTGGAGATCGACTGGAAGCAAAGACTTAGCGCCCAATTGCAATACTTCACATTCCACAGAGGAATTTCTCTATAAAGATATTAGAGAGACTACGTCCTATTCTCGACACCGACAAACCAAATGATTAAGTTGGCTTTCAACCGAGGCCATCCGTAGATGATACATGCGTCGTGCTGGAAGAGACTCGTCGTGCTGGAAGAGACTTGCCACAAATGCTGGGAGTGGGCTGAAAGAGATGTGGGTGGTCAGTACCGACGGACCCACAGCCTTCGATCGCATCAATCACCACTCTCTTTTCGAGGCGCTGGGCCAGCAAGGTGTCCCCGAGCCAGATCTGCGGTTTCTTTTCGACATCTACAACCAACAGGCCGGCGGGGTCAACGCCAGTGAGCCTCTCGACATCACGCATGGGGTGAAACGAGATGATGCTTTGTCATCGCTTCTGTCCCACGCATGGCTTGAGGACTCGATCCGGCGTTTCAAGAGCCACTTCCCAGCCACTGAGCAACATTCGTCAATTCGGCTGATGAGTGGGCCGCAATGCTCCGCGCGCTGATTGACGAGCTTGCTTGTGGCTTGTCGTTGAACGATAGCAAGACTCAGACATCGGTTTCACCATGAACTCGTCTGTGCCCGCGCGGAGCAGACAGCACCTTTCGATCTCGATGGGCACGACCTGTCTGTGATGAAGAAGCACGACTGCCACAAGTACCTTGGCAAGAAATTCAATGGCGATAAGAGGGGGCGGTCCCTGCGCAGCCTGAACTACCGCCTGGAAAGCGCATTGGACAAGTACCATGCAAACAAACATACTATTGTTCAACAAATCATGGTCGTTGAGGCTATGGTTGAAATTGATCATCGCGGTAGTCACGCCAACCGCTGCTCCCACCAAGAAGTAGCTTGCCATAATAGCACCAACGCGCTTGCAGATGCTGCGCAAGAGAGTTGATTTCAGCAAACTTCCAGCAGAGTCATGGGAGGGCGCTGGCAGACGGTGCAAAGAAAACATAAAACATGCATTGTTAAATCTGGATGTTCCAGATTGGATTGCGTACATTGACCGTGCACTTTGGCGGCTGCTGACTAAAATCGCGGTGCATCCGTGCAGCTGGCCGCAACGGGAGTTAACGTGGACTGTTAACGTGGGCCTCGCAAGATCATGTTCGACAGCGCGGTCGTCGAAAAATCAGATGCACCGACAGCGTTTCTAGTTTCCTGCAGAGCAGCACAGAGCGGACTTTGATACAAGCATTCAAGGAGTTTCCACGACAGACGTGGTCTATTGAGGAAGGCAAGCGTGTTGAGTACATGAACAACTGACATCCGATGCCCTCCCCCTCACCTCGCCCTCCTTCCCTCCTCACTTCCCCTTCCCTCCCACCAAGCCCCCCTGTGAATACTGCGTCAAAAGATTCACCTTCGCCGCCAGCATTGCTTGTCATGGCACGCCTGTTTGATACTTTCGCTGTCCACACGAGTGGGGCGTGACGCTTTCGGGCGTCCGGTCGGACCTTTGTGCTTTTCTTTTCTGCCATTCTATTGTTTGCTTGAAATCCGAAGCAGCTGCACTGATCGAGGGGAGTATCTTCAAAATGCGGATCTTGCCTTGGCGCGGCGCCCATTCCTCATAAAAGCTCGCAGCGGTCAAATAGAAAATAGACTGAGCACACATAGTTTTCATCATGGAGTTCTCGGCGGGGCGCCGCGCAGGTTCGTCTCAAAAGCTTGCAAAAACAGCATGGATGGGGCCAAGGTGGATTCTAAAATGGAGCTGTCGCAAAAGCGTCCCGCATGCGCGTCTCACAACATCTCGAAACTCCCAACAACTATGAAAATGGAACGCTGGTCGCGACGCGCACATCGGTTGTAAAAGCTTGCAATGGTTACAAGAGTGGAGGCGGTACCGCTTCAAATGGGGCTCCCGCTCGAACTTGCCCCAGTATCAAGTCCAGAAGCTTGAACATATCCAGCAGCTGCGCGGATGGATGGCGGCTCCTTTTCAAAATGGGCCTCTCGCTTAGGCTTTCCATTTTTTCCATGTTCAGAAGTGTGAGCTTGTACAACAATTACACACATGGGGTCGGTCCTTCCAACGGAAAAATCGATGGAGCCTCGCTGAACTGTATCATCATACCTCTACGCGTACCTGACCACGCGCAAGAAAGGGTGCATTGAAGTTCCTTTCACAACGGGGCCCTCGCCTGATTGGCAGGCCTACAGGGTGCTGGTCTTTCGAGGGGGCCCTTCGTGTGGTGAAGGAGCAGGCTTGCCAGGACTCATGAGGAGGGGACTTGGTGGGACGGGAGCGTGCGCTCCAGCGTCGCTGCCGGATCTTGGGTTTACTCTGGTCCTCCTCCTCCTCCTCCTCCTCCTCCTCCTCCTCCTGCTCCTCCTCGCCGTCCTCCTGGCTGCGTGGGCCGCGCGCTCTCGTCATGTAGCTCGTCGCGAGGGCCCCCTTACGACCCGGAGCGCCCACGCGCAGCCCCCGCGGCCACAGGCGGGCCGACGCCCGCTGCACCGCGGGCGCCATGAGAGGTGATGCCTTGGCTCGGCCTGGGCGGCGGACGTCGGTCGGGGGCAATCCTCCAAGGACCTCGTTTTTGGAGCTGGCCGGGGGGGGTCTGACCTGGTTGGAGCCCCAGAACATCGTCGCGTCCCTGGACCCCCCCCCTCGCGGGGCCCGTGTGGTGCAACGTTTCACCCTGGACCCGTTTTTGATGGCCCTGGGGCCCTAAGACGGCCCCCATCGGCCGAAAAGGCCAAAAGCCTTCCCGAACCCAGAAATCTGCCCCCCCCCCCCCCCCCTGTCGTGTTCGGGGGACCAATGCTGGGCCACCTCTGACCCCCAGCCGGCTCTAACCTGAGAGGATGACACGGGTCGGGGGCAAGGAGCTTCGTCTCGCCGCAGCTGCTGCTGCCGGGCTCGTGGCCACCCCTGGGGTGGACCCGAGCCCGAGCCCGAGCCCGAGGCCCTGTGCGCCGACCTGACTGTCGCTCGGGTCAGAGTTTTTGTGTCCAAAGCGCCAAGCCCCCAGAAATCAAAACAGTACGGTATCTGCTTGAGCCCTTATCCTTGTTCTATTCCTCCGCCTCATCCTTCTTGAGTCCTCATCCGTATCGTCCGCCTCCTCGTCTTCCCGCGCATCTGCCTCACTCACCTCTCCTTTCCGCCCTCCTTCCCCTCCCGCGTCACGATGAGGAGCAGAACCTTCATGAGCGGGCGCAGGAAAATAGATCAAACACGCAGGCGCAGGGTGCAGGCGGAATCAAGCCGGTTCCACGACGCCCAATCGAAAGATGAGTTCCGGCTGCAACTGCCACTCCACACCTCCGACGCCGCATGGTTTTTTTTTTACGGGGCCCAGGTCTCTCGTCCGAAGCCGTCCTCGGACGGTCTGGAAGCCCGAGAGGGACCCCTAGAAGCACAAAAATTTGACAAACCCGGCAGTCCCGATTACTTGGACGCACGAATTGGGTATGGAAAAAATTGGTACGATGCCCAGCCCCCCCCAAATTACCGTGCGACGTACCAAACCCTTTACACATGTGGCGATGACGTTGAGGACCGTTCAATGCAAGCCCCCCAGGGGGCAGCGAGGTCTTGAGGTGGTCCGCGTTGGACGTACCTCCGCTGGGCCTCCCAGGAGCCCACGAAAGTGCCGACAATT